CCCCAAAACCCCAAAACCCCAAAACCCCAAAACCCCAAAACCCCAAAACCCCTTAATAATAATTTATTGTTGAATTAAGGATGAAATGCCTCCAGCCACAAGTTTGATAAATTTGTGAAAGGTGAATAGATAGAGATTTAGCTTGTTTAGATATAAACATTTTCTCAGGATTAGCTTGGAGAACTTATCAGGCGAACATTTTTGTCTAATCTATGATATGTTTTCTTCATAGAAAATGCGATCTTTTCTGATCAAATTCATTAATTTCAGTTAAACTCTACTGAGAAAGATATAGATTTCTAAGAATAGGCCATTCTAAGGCTGCCAGAGAGAAATTTTTGTTGTAGCGCCGTTTGGATATCTTATCTACTCTAACTCTACAACCCTAATAGCACTCTGTACTCTGGAAAGCTTTAAACTACAAATTTAGAAGAATACGTCATCAGCTTGTGATTTTACCTCCTAAAATGGTTTCAAAATTATGTTCTCAACAGCTTTTGTGGGAAATTAGAGAAAAAATCTTCTAGAATAAAAATAAAGATCCACTGCCAAAGGTCGGCTTTAGGAATAATTTCCTGTAGATTCATGAAAGAGAAGTCTCTCAGACTTTAGATAATTCCTCGATAAAATTATTTCTCCAATTATCTACAATCTCTCAGCGGTTACACTAGTGATTCTGGGTGAAAAAAACAAAGAAGCTGATATCTTCAAATTTTTGATTCATCAACAAAGAAAAGCAAATATAATACGAAATTTCTGAGAGCAATGAGATATGCTATTATTCAAAAATTTTAGTTTATAAAGTAACTAGCTCCTGTATGTCCAAAGATTGGGGGTACATAAAGTGAATAATCGAGGGAAAACAATGAGTTTTGAGAATCGTTGTTAAAGAAATTTATATCACAGCCGCATCTTTTCCTATTTCGCATCTTTCACCTATAAATGAAGGTCAGAGAAAGTCGGGAATCGGATAACCAAACTGTGATACTTCTTTGCACCAGAGAGCTGGATGGGAGTGCAGTCTTGGCTAGTGAAGAAGTAAAAAGAAGGTATCCATACCTGTATCTTGCTCCTGGTTATAATCTCAGTCAAATTTTTAAAGTACCCATCTTTGGAGAATTTGAATCAAATTACCCCTAAGAGTGTTGTTGTATGAGCAAAGTATTGTACTTTGCTGGATCTCCCTCATGTATCTTTTTGGATTAATCATTGGAAGAGAGAAACCACATCAAGAGGAAAGGACCTCTATTCAGATGCAATCTCATCGTAAGTGGGTACTTTTATCGGCTGAATTCAGCCTGAATGTAGAATTTGTCTACTCCAGACTTCGATAATTCAGTGAATGACTCAGATATCGCAAGAACTGCAGGCAAAATTTTAGGAAGACTACGACTGAATATGTTCCTAGCAGCTTGTTAGCAGGCTGCCTAGTGGGTCAAATCGTATTTAGTCCTCTTCCTTGGTTCCTTCCTTCTTTGATCTTTTAAGGAAGGAAAGCTTTTGGCTACACAATGATTGAAGCTTGTCAGTGTTTATAGCTCGAAGACGGCTCATTATAACTTCGTCATTGAGCTCTTTAGCGTTCATTAGTGAAAATTGGAAAGCCGCCTTTGCTTCAGCTGCACTGAAGAACTTCTTCATCTCAATACAGGTAAGTCTTGCGCTTGTCTTGGTTACAGTCATACCATGCTGAAATCTTAACAGGTATGGCATGAACTTGCTCTGGGCTGCCCCAAAGCACATCTGAGCTTTATGTAACAAGTTGATTCTTGGTAAGAAACCAAACCTAGAACCTTCAGGAGTCATCCACTTTTTCATTTTTATTGAAGTCGTGATTTATCAATTTTAATAGAAATTAAGGGGTTTTGGGGTTTTGGGGTTTTGGGGTTTTGGGGTTTTGGGGTTTTGGGG